CAACATTTTATCGAGTACCTGTTTCTAAGAAAAAACGCCTTCTGATTTTCGATAACCACCCCAGCTGTTTCTCCATTTTGTCATCTTCCCTTTTCCCATAGGCAGAGGTAGGGAGAAAGCGACCAAATCTGCTCTCTCGCTCCCGCCAATATGGCCTGACAGGAGTCTGGGATTCCTGCCGTTCATCAGACAATGGCTGCCGTCTTGATGACTTGCAGGTATACCAAAGAGCGCGCCAATAAAGAGCGCGCCGGCGCCGGTGGCATCTCCATATGAGGGCGCGCGGTGATGATATGGAAAATGGGGGATTACAGGTAGCTCCCGGGGCGCACGCCGACTGGGAATGACGTCATTTGCGCGAGGAATGCGCTCGATCGAGACCGATTGTACCGGGAAACTTGCCGAAATCGGCGCCGCCGCGTCAACTTGTGTGCGGCCGCGCTCACTCGCGATATACCGGCTTATGTGACGCGTGCGAAGATAAATTTGAAGGCGCAACTTTTTGTCAGGACAACTTTGGACAGCGTGCCGCGCCCGGCCGCATCTGAGCGCACATTCAGCGCCGGGTGCGGCGGAACTTTTTCAGCTGCGTTCCTGGGCGGCCCGGTGTGGAAGGAGGCGCAGAAATGTGATCCACCGGCGTGCTGAGTCGGTCCGAAGTCGCTCAATAGACCTGGCGGCCGGCGCTGACTGCAAACCTGCGCCCAGTGACGACGTCCTTTGATGATAGGATCTGCTAACTCAAGGTAGATGCGACCGACTGGCGGCTGTCATTGGGACCGTTTTATTGGACCCGACTGCCTAAAGGAGCGGCTTTGGGGCTGAATGCCGACGGTGTCACGGGTGGAGGCAAGGGCTCGGGCGTAGTGGCTCGTCTCTGTAGGTAAGTACTTACGATGGGTTTTGCTTGTTAGACGAATAAATGTGACTTTGAACTTGTACGTGTATGTAGTGATATGACAATCAAACGAAAGAGGTACAACTTTTGGCAGGCTAAATTCATATTTGTTAATATTCTTATCAAACACTCATCAATATCGTTTCCATAAAAAAAATCTACTGATGACTTTTAATCACCTAAAGTGAAGCGGTGTATGGTGTTTCCTCTGGTGACTCTTCCTGAGCCTCTGCAATGCGGGGGACTTTCCCGTAATTCCTCGCGCGTAACTGGTTGCAGCGCTACGAGCCGTGTTGAACCTTGCTCCCGGTGTGATGTTGATGCTGGCACCGTTCCTACGATGCAGCTGACCTTTGTCGGGGCCAGGTACGCGAACCACACCTGACCGGCCAGTGCTACCCCCCCCCCCCCCTCCGGCGGGGTGGGCCAGCTGGCTGCCAGCACCCGACGCTGGGGAATGTCGACGCTGCATATTTCTACCTGTCAGAGAATCATTTTTCACCCCGCGCACCTACGGGGAGGGCGAAAAAGAGGGCGGGACACGCTTGTTTTGGAGGTCCCGACTGAGGCTGGTTTATCGTGATTCTCTTATTTTGTGCTGTGTCACCAAGTGAGAATTTTTCTCGCTGTGGCGGTGAACTGCATCAAGGATGCCTCGAGCATGGCTCTGTATTTTGTCCGGCCCTAAGTCACTGAGTACTCAGTGACTCATCAGTGACTCATCCCCATTGTGACTCATCCCCCATTGCCTTCCCACCGTAGTCCGCTCTTCGTTCTCAATTTCCTCGCTTGGTTCTTTCCTTCTCTCGATTCCGCGTCGCCCTGTCGCTCGCTCGCTCTCCCGTCCTGTCCCGTCTTCCTTCCCGTCCTGTCCCGTCTTCCTTCCCGTTCCTACTGCGCCTCCCTCCCCTCTGCTCTCTATCTCTCTCCTCTCCCTATCCGTGGCCGTCCTCCCCCCGTGCCGGCGTCTCCCTCCTTCCGGCGCTCGGCGCTCGCCAGGTCGTCCGCCACCGGCCAGCGCTATTGATATGGGCACACTGCCAGCGGCCAAGGTGTATCTACCGTAATGGCCCAGCGCGCCGCCGGATCGGCACCATTTATTTCATGATTAATTCACCTCGATATGCAGATTGAACGTGTCGAGTCGAAGGTAACAAATCGGACAGGGCGCGCGGCACGGATCGCCCACGCTGGACGTGGAGACGTTTTTGCCGATCCTCCGTCGGACCGGAAGGAAGCTACCTCATCCCCGGCGGGGGGGAGGCAGGGGCGGGGGGGGCGGTGCTCTCCGGTCGAACAGGTCAGACTGATGGCGGATAGGGAGCGGCGGGGATAGAGGGGCTCCGCGGAGGCTGGGTGCAAGGTCTGAACCCGGTCACCGTTTGGACATGATGCTTATGATATCGTTCAAGGTGCATAAATGCTAGTAGGACGGTACTGCCCTCCCGTTATGGAAGTCTGCACTTTTTCAGCTTATTTTTGCAAGCTCCTTATCCAAAAGCTAAAGCTGAGCCAATGACCGGCAACATGTTTTTTTTTTTTAGTCAGCAGACAGGTCTGATGATACGACTCACCGGGTCAGTTGGTTGGATGGCTGATGGTTTACCTGACTCTCTCAATGTTTGGGCCTCGTCGGTGTATTTATGGGAGTCTGAACCTTCAATCTCAGTTTGATGCTCATGCATCTGCTTATGAAAAAGTAGAACCGTGCAAACCTGTCGGCCTGCAGCAAAAAAAGAACCTCACCGATCACAGCCTGAGTTTGTGACTACGAGTCAAGCATCTTAAAGCACGTAGACTTACCTAGACATTGCGATACATTGCAAAACATTGCAAAACGATCAACCTTATGGATCCCCTGGGCACACTGACGATTACCGAGCGCTGAACCTCTCGGGCAGATGGCCCCTGAAATCTGCACCCTGGCTCTGGTCAATGCGACGTGTCCAGTGCGATGTTGCGGGCTCCATTTCCAACGTCATGCCCTCAAAGTCGCCCTCTGGAGCCGCCTCTGCGACCACCGCGGGCCGCCGTGAGCGTCCTGTCACCATCTCTGGACTACAGGATGGGACCGGCGACCGACGCCCCCTCCTGCGGCGGTGACGGGAACCAGGCGGAGCCGGAGCGGTTTACTGCCGCGGCGAGCCCAGCTGCGGTCAGCCCGGCCGGCGCGGCACGCCGCTCCTAAACTGGGCCGAATGAACCGCTTCCTGCTCTGTACCGCCGCAGCGCCGGGCCTGCGTCGCGCTGTCATATCCTACCGAGAGGACGCCGCTCCGGCTGACCTCACGGGGCCGCTGGCTCGCCGGGAGTCACCCTCGGTGGAATCCCCTGCTGATCTAACTCTGTCTGCTCTGCTGGCTCAGCTGTTGTCATGGACCAGTCATTACGTGTTCACTTGGCGCCAGGTACCGCACCCGTTGGTCCTTCCCACCGGTCGCCCTGTGACCTCCCGGACCAGCAGGCGTGTCTCAACGCCTCCCGTCAGCGGCCGCAGCCTGCAGCCGCCCACCTCACCTCAGCACCTAGCTCTCCGCTCACCTCTGCGTCAGCCACGTCAGCAGCATCAGCGCCGGCGACGTCAGCCAGCGGCACGCTGATGTCAGAGCTCGTCAGCCCACCGCGCGGCCGGGGCATGTATAAAACATGAGTCAGCAGGCGGTGGCAGCATGGACGCGGCCGGCGGACATTTTGCCGAGGCGGTGCGCTCGTCCCCCGTCGTGCCGGTGTGCCGGCCGGGGCGGCGGTGGGGCCGCCCGCACCGCCCTGACTCGGCCGGTGTCCGCCGCTGCCCGCTCCCCTCCCCGACCGGCGAAGATGGCGCCGCTCACCTTGACTGGATGTCCGACCGCCGCGCCGGCGGACCGTCCCCTCTCCTCCCCCCCCCCCCCCGGCGCTCACCGCCGCGCCGCACCGGGCCGCCGGTCGTCACAGCGCCCGTGCGGCCCTCCCACGGCCGCGGCTCCCCTCCAGCGCGGCCCGCAGCCCACCTTACCAGGTTACAGCGGCGCGACCGCTAAAAACCTGCCTAACGAAGGCACTGTATGATTCATATAGATGAGCCGGCGCCTCCCCGCGGCCCCTAGTGAGTTCGCCCCTTTGTGAACAGTCGTCATTCAGTGGACTCGCTGAAACCCAAACTCACCCAAATGGGGATTCGGCTCGTTGAGAAGAGAAATTCCTCTATGGAGGTCTTTCCATAATGTGCCGCAATGCCGTTTTTGTGTGAGGATTCATCACGACTGGGGGCATGGGCCATGGGGCATGCGTATGAAGTGACGGCGAGCTGGTCTGACCTGAAGGGGCGCAGGTGCACCTGTAGCATCTACTTTTCACCACTCACCTCCAGCTACTTTTCCCGGACGACACACATTGGTCGACGTCTCTCAGGCGTGGGAGACGGGTCCGTGCGCCTGACGACGGGCGCCGCCGCGGCCCACTCGCTAATTCCGCGGTAATTACAAGTTCCAAACACCAGCTGAGCTTGCCACTCATCGGCGCTCTCCCGAGGTGCCATACGTCATCCAGCGCTGCTCTCGAGGCGGCCGTGAGAAAGTGCCGAGGGCGGCGGAGGAGGAGCGGTGGCGCCCGGCCCGAGGACGCTCACAGGAGGCCGGTGACGGGCCCCGCCACATGTGCCGCGGCTGACAGCTCATGACGTCACCAGCCTAGCCGGGACGGGCCGTGCCGTGGGGAGGGGGAGGGAGGGAGTCTGTGTACCGGCGCGGGAACTGCATCTCAAGCATTCTTATTTCTTACTGATGACGTGATTTGCGAACGATGGATGATTGCAAATATTTGAACGGTAGCATTTCTATCAACTGCATTATTATTCATATCGTGCTCGTGGTTTGGAAGAATTGACCGACTTAGCACTCATCGTTGGACGCTGCACTCCATGGACTTGGGAGTTTGCACTATAATTTGTGCCTGCTCAGAAAGCGGAGCTTGCTGCTATTTGTGGCCGTATTTGTTCCAGTCGCGGATCCAAACTGATGTGTGCACGAGTGTTGGCTCTTGTCAGCTTTGATCATTCGCAGGTGAGGTCATTGACACTCGTGCGACCCACTTAATTGGCCACTGTTCAGGTGTTCCAAGGTTCAATGACCGGGGCGACGACGCGTCAGTTATGGTCAGTTAGCTGTGATAGTATCTTGGGGCTCCCGTGTGCAATCTGTAGTGAGCCACATAAAATAGGACGACACAGTTATAGCACTGTATATGCTATATAATTGTGCGTTTGCTGTTAAAACTTCAACAATTAAAACTTAAAACTATTTGCTTAAAGTGAACCATCGGCCTACTTAAAAGCGCGATGAGCATCTCACAAATGAGTGCGTCACCAATGCGAGGACAATTCTCCACTTCCTGCTCGTTTGAAGCAGCAACCTCTGATGGCCTCGCTCTCATTACCTTCGAACCATTTGCAGGTAAGCAGTATTCTCACTTGGATGCTGAATATCTGTGCTCATTTTGGTATCGGTAAGTTGTACTCAATACTCATTTGCGTCTAGCTATACCTTTTACGTTATTGTTATCATCTTTTTCAGACAGTCCCGCTTAATCGTGTTATTTTACTTAGTTTATAGACCTCATCATGGGCGTAGGAACCTCACGAAAAGTGTGGAGGGGCAGCGAAACTTGTCACTTTGTGGGAGCCCCAAATCCCTATAAAGAAATTCTTTGCAGTTTTGTGCTGATCTTACCTTGCTGTGCTATTTCCTACTCTTAGTTTTGTATTTAAACAAAAAAAAATAAAGATTTTACTTTAAAAAATGGCTTAGAAGTGCAGGGCCATGCCCCCCCCCCCTGTTCCTACGCCTATGAACCTCAGTGATGTTCCCCATGACGATGACAATTAAATGAAAACTTATCCTCATCAGGTAGCTTACAAATCGAGAAGTGCCATGTATGCAACGTTTTGTTCTCAATTTGGTCCAATGGGGCCCGCGTCTGCCGCTGTATTTGCCATTATGTTATGCAACCGTGATATCAATTCGCTCGCTAAAAGGCATGCTAAGTGCTTTCAGCACCTTTCGACAGCTTAGACCTTGAAGCGTAGTGAACGTCTAGCATACATCATTACCTCTCGATCGAGGTCGATACAACCACCAGGCGGTCTCTTAGGCGCAACATTCCCTATGTGGTGCCCACTCAGGTAGCCCTTTCTTCCGGCGCTATTACCTGCGACGCTAAGAGGCTCTGTATTGGCTCACCCTGAAAGGGTTTCCGTGTTCTCAAAAGTCTATTTCTTGCTGAATAGTTTGATAGCCTTTCAAGAAGGTAATTAAAGGAAGAAAGTTCAATTGTTAACTGGCACTCCGATCGTATAGATCGGTAGTATGATGTTGCTCCCGAACGTCAATTCTTCCCTGCCGTGAAGACGCCGTATTCTTTCACGGGTGACTGCGCGCAGCTCGGCTCTGACCTCGCTGCAAGGGTCTGGTATTTTCGCGGACCTTGTGCCAGACCATATCGGGGACATCATTCAGCGATTGTGGTGTCCAGACGGCCCCAGTTTGTCAGTTGGGTTTGTTTGTTTGTGCTATCATCCGCCGTGCAGACTGACCCGAGTCAGGTGATGTGGGGGCGGCGTCGAGTGGAATTTTGTTTAGCGGTTATTCCGTTCTGTGCTCAGCAAACGTTAGGTTTGAAAAGTTCGCAAATTTGTTGATACCTAATTACTGATCACATCCTGCAGCTGCTATCATAATATTTTGGTGGAATAAATTGTGGAACGTGAGTCATGACGTGATACCATAACGTTCAAACTTCAACATTATGTTCTAATATTTATTCTAAATTTAATTTAAAACTTTAATCTTAATTTCAACTAAGATTTCATCTTTAGTCTTTTTTATGTCATTGTAACAAAGCTTAGGAATCAAACAATTAGATAAAATTGAGAGGAAAAGTCATTTTATTGCAGCGGATGATCGAAGAATGAAGGTGGCATCGCTTAGGTTGGTGAGATTTCAGTGGCCGGGTGACGGACAACTTTCCTTGGAAGTTGCAGTATGACAATGCTACATTAGCTTGTAACGTATAGACCACTACATGTAGGTAATGGCTACACTATACAATTACACACATAGAGGTGTATGGCTGTACTCGTAATTGTCTTTGATAACTGTTTCCGAAGCTTGTAGGTAACTTTTTTCGAGGCTTGCCTTTGATGCAGTATGGCTATAACCGTAAGAGCAAACGCCGTAATTTAAAGAAGAGCAAACGCCGTATACGTCGTTTGCTTTTCTTTAAATTGTCCATAAGCTAAGACGTTGTATTTAACATGCTCCCATTTTTGCGCATTGTGCTAAGCTTCTATAGACAAATCTGACTAATCACCTTCACAATTTTCAGCAGTAAAGCTTCAGTGTTGACAGGACCAGACATTTTACTGTACGCTAGAGCAGGGGGCTCACTACTTTTCCATTTAGAGCACGCTGGTACCATTTGAAATCTGGCGTTCTCGGTGTCAGTGATCTGTTACCTGCACCTCGTATTGGACAACTTGAAACACTAAATCATCCGGGCCCGAAACTATTGGAGCGAAGCCGGCTCCTGACGGCTATATAAGGAATGTCTGTCAGACGCCTGCGCTCCCGCCGCGTCAAATTGTGTACACTGTTTCAGAGCGCTCGCTCAAGGTGGAAAACTTTGTGTGAGGGATATATTCCATTCTCTCGAGCACAGATATACGGTGTCTTTTCTTCTAAAGTTTTTTTTTTCTCGAAGCTCTAATCAATTGAAATATGAGGAAGCCGGTAGACACCAACGGATTCTGAACTGTCATCGAGCTATTACCGAGCTGTCATTTAGCTGTCAATGCACTCTTCAGTCTTTTCACCTGGGATTATTTTCCAACGGCGTCGAAAAGGTGATGTGGTGAGAAAGAGTGAGAGAGTGTGCCGTTTTCGGACGGGCTGCGATCCGAGAGGCCATTTGTTGTCTCATTTCCGCCATGTCAGGTCGGCTCGGCTGTTCCAGAGCGGCTTTTACAGCCCTGTTCTTCCCATCTGGGAGCTTCCACCTGTCAATGGGACGGGCTGCTGTTGCTTTCAAGAAACTGTTTGGTTCTAAATGGATTCGGATAGGTAAATTCTTCCTTATTGAAAGATTGTATCGCAGACGGACTAAATTGAATCTCAAACGCTCTGTCAGGGAAATAAACAAAGCGGCGCTGCCAGCGCCCAGCCATAAGGGCGCAGCGGCGCGGCCCTCTGGAGGATCCTACAAACGACAAAAGCTTCTCGGATTGTGAGGCAGAAATCGTCCCCCACTAAACTCTGACGTCACCGGCATCGATTGAGGCTGTGTGGCCAATGGAATGTCAACTAACATCTTTAGTTAACTAAAGAGTGGTAGGGGTAGTGGTAGGGGTAGTGGTAGGGGTAGTGGTAGGGGTAGTGGTAGGGGTAGTGGTAGGAGTAGTGGTATAGGTAGAAGTAGTAGAAGTGTGGCCCAGGCCGATCCAATGTGACGTGGTGACCTATACGACCTGGCCTGACCGAAGGTGACCTGGCCTCACCCAGTGTGACCAGGGATAACCACCTTGACCTGACTTGACCCCGTATGACCCAAATTTCATCCAACCAAGCCCTCAAAATATTTATTATGTTCAAAATTTTCCTCTGCACGTTTCTGTCCATATCTCTGCACTGTAAAAAAAGTTTACCAACTAGTTAGTTATCCGGCCACTTTTCACTAACCATAGGCGTGTAAGCAAAACACGCATTTCATGACTAAGTGTGTTTTCAATTACACGCAAAAGGTTGAATAGCGTGTTTTGAAACACACCTCTTAGTTTTCGAATATTTGCCAGGTTACTAAGATAAGCCGTGTAAGCGTGTTTATTGACTATCATCGGTGTGTTTTGTTAATAACTACAGACGTGTTAGGTAACACATGTGTTTGTCACACGGCCACTTTTCACTAGCTATATGCGTGTACGCAAAACACACATATTGCGTGTTAGCTAACTAAGCTGTGCGTGTTAATACACTAAATGCATTTTTGAGAACAGGCGTGTAACTTAACTAATGTGCGTGTTAGTCACCTCTTTTCACAGCCCCCAAAAAAAACGAATCGAATTAAACTCATCAAACATGTTTATTCAAAACTGCATTCAAGCTCCTTTCAGCAAGCTTACAACTGCATACAGTAATATTTCTCTTATTGTACTAAAAATGAACCTAAAAAAGTAATCTTCTGTAGGAAACTGCCGAGCGGCAAAGGCGCTCCGTTCTAAAGTTACGTTCTAAGCTATATATAGCCTGCAGGAATCCGCACCAGCCATGACACCATACACTGTAAAAAAATCTTACAAGCCCCTTGTAGGAAAACCGCTGGCGCAAAAATGAGCATGCAGCGACGTGTAAAAATCGCCTCATATTTAGCTAGTAAGAGGGTACAAGCTTGTTTCGTTAGTATAAATGACAAGCCCACGCCTCATAAACCGAGCACCCCCGTGTCAGCCCCTCGTTTCGTTATTCGGTACCTCGTTTGAAAACGAGGGCAAAACCAGCAGATCGGTACGCCGATTAGGCTCCTTAGCAGGACTCGCCTGGTAACCCAACCAGCTAGCGCCTGCTATTGCTGCCCAGTAGTAATACTAGCTCAATTGCGTCACCCCCCCCCCCCCCCCTCCTTCTCCCCAGCCGCCCCTCCGACTGGTGGACGACCCGGCCAACGACAGCCACGACAGCGTGCCAGCCACGTTACAAAAAAAAACATACACAAAAATAACGTTTATTACTTATTAGCATACGATACAAAATATCTAAATATATACATATTACAATATCATAGCGGAGTGGTGCAAAAGCTGATTCGAGTCACCACCAATAACATTCACAAAATAATACGGTTGCATGAGACACGATCGAGCACTTCCACGGGCTTTGACGCAACGGCACTTACAACAGGCGAGTGAGCAAGTTGATCCTGCCATGTCACGTACATTGTGCACTGTGCAGTCCATCAAATATTCGCCATACTTTGCAGATTCAAGCAAGTTTTTTTTTTCTGGGCGAGGCTTACCAACAGAAATATCGCTGGCTTCCGGCATACCTTCATGCCTCAGTCTCCCACAACTTTAAGCAACTCTGCAAACAGAAAAGAAAATTGACTGCTGATTTTAACCCTCGCCCTGGCAGGGCCTTTTTCATAACACGGCCTGGCAGGGGGGGGGGGTCGATGCGACCCCCCCCCCTCGCGATTGGCTCCTATGGCACCTAGAAACACCAAATTTGGTAGGTAGGTGGGCCCCATGGAATTCTCGCCCCTGTGCAAATTTGGTTGTTCTAGGTCAATATTTAGGGGGGTTTTGGGGGGTATAAATGTAAAAATTTCGCTAAAAACAGGTCAAAAGTTTTTCGCTTATAACTTTTGATCTAATTAAGATAGAGCAAAAAGAAAAGCACCAGTGAAC